TAAGTTGAATGGAATTGCTTGAGTCCTGGCGAGAGCTAGGCAGGCGTTCCGCGGATACCCTTTGGTTCGCCTTAGGGAGAAGTGGGGGCGTCACAGTTGGTATCAGAGCATAGGTTTTAGATCTTATAGTGTATCCTAGGCTTAAAATTTAGGATGCCTGACTGTGGGATTAATTTGAATATTATGTGAACTAGAGGGTCTATTGTATCCTACGGGTTAAAGAAATTGGTTACTTGAGAGTTTCTTACTTGGGACTTGTAGAAATAAAAATTGAGGAATTAGCTGATATTATATTGAAGGAAAATATGGGATGAGAGATTAGTAGTGAAAGATTGGACAAATTTGAATTATTATTATACTTGTAAGTGTGGAAAGAAGTGAGACAATTATTAGTGCTGGCTAAAGCAGATAAGAGACCGAGATTTGATGGTCAAACTGCATGTATCGTGATTGTGACCCCAGATGAAAGAGTTTCAAAGGTATAAAATGCATTTTCCTGCTCATTAGAGAAATTATGCTTTGAAATTCTAAAGGAAAAATGGGGATGTACTAGTTTTATTTTCAAACGATAATTGGAAATAATATATATATGCTTCAAGTACGTGTAATTCTTCGATTTTGGTAAATATGTGAATTTTACTTGAATTTCAATTTAAAAATTTGTGAATAACTGATGAGTTTGTTGAAATTTTATATGTGATGGGCTGATACAAGGTTAAAATTTTCTAAACTAGATTTTGCCCCTTGATTGTATACTGGTGTATTCTCACACTTGAATTCATCTATGCTTTACAAAAATAATAATAATAATAATAAAAATATCTTGAATTTTCGGAAGAACGGCGAACTTATGTTTTTATAATGAAAATCTTGAACTTGATAAGATTTTTGTTACTTTAAATACTCTTCTTATCTTTTAAAATTCTTGGTTTTCAAGAAGGGTGAGCCTATCTTTAGGTGTACGGATTGAGGGAACTTTGAGATATAGAGTAACCGCATTCAAGAACACGCAGTTAGTATGAATTGACTTGGTTTCCATTTGACACGTAAGTTAGCAAGTTGTACTTATTTCTTGGGTTTGAACTTGGAGCTTGAGGCTTTAACTATAAAACCCTAAGACTAGTTATTCTTGGAGATGATGGTGCTCTGGTTGGTGGCTTGCTTATTAAAGATTTTGAACTTCGAATGGATAACCTTTGGATTCCGCTTATGTTATGGTTTGATTGGATCTAATTTCGTAAAGGCATGTGATCTGATTGGAATTAGTGATATTCGGACCCATTGGTTTAATTAAGGATTTAGGAAGGGTGGTACACGCCGTGAGACCTTTTGTATCCCGCTTGCATATACTTCTACATTTTGTGACCCTTAATTGCCTATATACAGTATTTGACATATTGGGCTTGTTTTGTGACTTCTTAACTCGTACTATAACCTTCCATACATGTAAAGAATCATGTCTTGATTCTAAATATTTTTGCAACTTGTATATGCATTAAGTTCTTTTATGATTAATTATTCATTTTCTTGCGCTTATAGACTCCTATTAAGTATGGTAGCAGGAATAGGAAAAAGGGGTCGTGGCCGAGGGCTTAGACAACCCTGTACTCGTGAGAAAAATTGATGGATGACCTTATATAATTTAATGAGATCCTAGTACTGAATATGAATCGAGAATAAACCAGAAGATTAGATCTATCAGTGTATAATGGATTAACCTAGTTGGGAACTTAGTGAGATTTTCCTGTGTGAAATTTTAATAACTGCTTTATACGTATATTATGATTGGTCCTGTGGCCATATTTCAACTTTTGTGAAAGTTTGAACTCCAAAAGTATTTCGTGGGATTGGTGAGATGACCTGAACTCATTACCAATTTGTTCTACTTGAACAAAAGCGCTTTCAATTTTACTTGACTAATACTATACCCAAATTCACTTGTTTTACTTTTCACAAAATTTATATATATATATATATATATATATATATATATATATATATATATGTATGTATACACATTTTGAACTCGTTTGAGACTCGAAATCAGATAGAGTTCAAGTTCGAATCTTTCTTAGGAACATGAATGCCTATTTGTTATGAATCAGATATTAGAAATGATCGGGTTTTATGTACCAGTAGAGTTAACTCTTGGTTGGATAAAAGGGTGGTAAATGTATTGGATCACAGGTTATGCGAATATGAACCTACATGTTTACCTATCTTTCTTAAAGGTATTTTCTAAAATATACGCCTTACTCGAACATAGATTTAACTCGAAACTTTGAGAAAAAGTGTTGGAACACCCTCCATGTATATGTTATGATTATTATGTATATGTTTTAAAAATCATGCATTAAGTTGCATGATTAATATTCTTAAATCTATTTGAGAGATTTTAAATATGTATTGATGATTGTGGTTAAACATTATTTGAAATCTCTTACTAAGAAAATTTAATTTTGGGTCGTGAAGAAAAATTTGTATCTTTAACTCTAATTTTGAAAATTTTGAATCACATTTTGCCACAGATACATTCAAAATACATCAAAAGTCTTGACCTTATCTTGTAAGTCATGATTGGTTTGATTTAGACAAAATTTTGAGGAAAGGGATTTTGGTCCTGCTAGTGCGTAACAGTTTTTTTTTTGTTAGGATTTGGAACTTGTTTCATATGGCGTATAATTTATGGTTTTATGGTTTCACTACACACGGGAGTAAGACCTTAGAATGGAAGTACATATCATTATATCAAGAGGTATTACTTTAGTCGTGTGTGTGGATTTTCTTAAGTATCATTCGAGGAGAGGGAAGAGTAAATATACCTGGATGACTTAGATGCGTGAGAATTTACAGGTTGTGGATAGTTGAGTTTCAAATTCTGATTTACTACTTATTTAGATGCTTGAGCAGTTGATAGGCTAACAGTCAGGATTAAGAAAATGGATGAATGAAAAGTTTGGAAGAGATGCGTATAGAAATAGAAATTTTTCACAAGGAGTTGGAATTCCAAACTAAATTGGCTAAATTCTGGGAAGAAAAAAAAAAAAGTCGAGAACTTAGGGTTGAAAATGGGATCCAATGTTTAATCGCCGATTTGAGATATTAAAAGTTGTGAGATTTGGGTGAGTGAAAGGAAATATTTGATGGCTTGAATGAGCCTAACGATTAGGGACCGGATGTTATATTTGGAATGGACGCTTGAGGCTATATATACATAGATTATTGAGAGTTGAACGATGAGACTATTAAGAACAAATGCTCCATAGCCTCACATAAACGAGAATTATAATCAAGGGTCAGGAGCAGTGAATAAGGGATTTAAAGTAGAGTTACTACCAACCGGAAATTCTAGAAACTGATGTGCTTAACCACTTCCAATTCAAGATGGGGATGCTTGAATTTTCAGTTATGCCAATTGGGTTGACTAATGTATCAGCAGCAATTATTGCATTAATGCATCAAGGTTTTAAATCGTAATAGGATTAATCTGTGATGGCATTTATTGATGATGTATTGATATACCCTAAAGTTTGAGAAAATCATGAAAAAATACCTGATGGTAGTTTTACAAACCCCGAGAGAACGCTAACTTTTGTTAAGTCCAATAAATGTGAGTTCGATGGGAAGAAATAGCCTTTCTAAGTTATATAATATCTAAGGAAGAAATTGTTGTTAACTCAGTTTAAGTGGAAGCTGTTTAAGAGGAAATGACTAGAAAATCCTACCGAAATTTGGAGTTTTTAGAGGTAGTCGAATATTATCTTGGTTTGATCAGGGACTTCTAAGGATACGAGACTTGACAAGTTATTTGAGATTCTAAATGTGAGGAAGAATTTGAAGGTGAAAATCGTTTAACCAGTGCACTTGTGTTGGCTTTACCGAGCGGATGAGGTGATTTTGTGATTTATACAGATGGCTCAAAGGATGGTTTAGAATGTATATTAATAATATATGATGAGGTGATTGTATATGCCTTCTGAAAGTTAAAATCTTCCGAAAGAAAGTAATCAACTTATGATTTGGAGTGAGTTGGAAAACATAAGTCAATGATTGATCTGATAGGCTTAACCATGAAGGGAATGATGTTGTTCTAAGTATGAATTTCGAGGACGAAATTCCTTTCAAGGAGGGGAGGATGTGAGAACCCGAAAATTTTCTTATTTTTATAGAATATTATTGGAACATTTAAATGATTATTCACTCATTTTCTTCGAATTATTTATTTCGACCATTTTAAATCCATTTATATGGAATGACGCCTCTTTATAATTTTAAAGCGTTTTGTTGAAAAATTCGCTTTTCGAAAATTTGATTAGTCCGGAACGACGGGTGCATGTTTTTCTAGGCTATACTTGAATAGGGAAAGTATTAATATTGAAGAATTAAGAACGATCAATAATAGATTAAGAAAGGTTAATGGAGGAATTTATACTCAATTCACGTGAGGACTCGTAAAATTCCATTATTTTAAAATCCCTAATTTTGGCTAAAATAATTATTTATTTGGATTTTTGCCACGAATAATATTTTCTAGCCTATTAGACCTAAGTACATGGTTTTATAGCTTCGTTATATTTTTTTAAAGTGTCTCGTTTCAAAAATTATTTTCTTATAAGCTTGTTTAGTGAAAAGGTGAAAACGTGTCCAAACACTTTAGCCAATTGGGATTACAATAAGCTAAAAATTTAAGACCTATACAATGGACCTAAAATAGACAATTTTAGGTTTAAACACACAAGTAATAACTAGTGGTACGATCGTTATAAGAATTTTTCAAAGGTTTTAATTTTTATTACGCCTAAATTAGAAATACGTGTTTTCACGTGCGCGCTTAATTGAGGGATTTTGGACCATTATTTTGGGACAATTAAGAATGAATAATATTTATATGAATGTAAGGGCCCTAGAGGTTTAGTGCACTAGTGCAACAAACGTAAGAGAAATCGGATACAAAACGCGCGCGTAGGGTACTAGTTAAAAATTGATTTGACGTATCAAAGGATTTGACGTCAAGCGTCTTTTGTACGCAAAGGCTACAGAGCCGAAATTCATTTCCTTTTCTCTGCTACAATGGCCGGCTAGACTGCAGCAAAGGAACAACCAAAGTCACCATTTCTTTTCTTCTAAAACTCAACCAAATTCTTACCAAAACTTCCCTAGATTCTCACCAAACTTCACATTCGTTTAGCTTTTCACTTGGACAACAACTTAGGCTGGAAAAGGGAGGAGTTTCACGGCTGTCTTCAGGCTTCATAGGGACCGAAATTTTCTGATTTGAACAGCCATCAAAGTAGGTAGCCATCTAACTTCTTAAACTTGTTTATGGAGTTTGATTTACGCATTTGAGTTGGAATCTTTACTTTAGTAGCTTGTATTGTTGGAAAACGTGGGCTCTATGAATTCCCACTCTTGGGTTGTTGCTGAATCTGTGCTTGATGAAGTTTATGATGACGGATTAGTGTTTAAGTTAGTGTTTCGTTGAAGAAAAACTGCAGGAAACTCACGTAGAGAGCAAGGGCCAAACTTGACCATTTTGCCCCTGCTCTGTTCGGTCATTTTATTGCAGAAATTGAGGATTTAATGGCTTGATTGTGTAGTTTACATGTTGTAGAAGTTGTGTACAAAATTTCGTTGAAAAATATTGAGTTTTGGTTGCTCAAACGAATTTATTTCAAAAACTAGTAAACTGGAAAACGGTTTCTCCGTAATCCAGACCAGTGGTTGTATTTCGTCCATAACTCCGTACTCCAACGTCGAAATCAGGTGCCGTTAGCGGCATTTGAAACTAGACGTTTCCATGTTTTTATCGGTGTATAATGCACGTCCTGGTTTTATGTGTGTGAGCCACACCATTCATCTGAAGTCGGCTGTCCTGTTTCTCCGTTCTGCCGAAATGATTTGATAATGCTGCAACTTGAGCCTTGATTTTGAACCGGTTGCATGCTGAAACTTGAAACGATTTCTTCTGTGAAGTTGTAGCCCTATGAATTTATTTTCTAACACTATCAACCATTCCCAATTCCGAGTTAAATTGAGAGATTTATGATCAAAATACGGCGACTGCTCGTTTTGAAAATCTTAGATTTGGACAGATTGCCTTAAGGATTTTTCCAAACATTGGTTGATTGAATGACCCCCCCTCCCGAGGGTATTTTTCCGTGAAATTTGATAGAGAGATAACCTTCATATGGAAGTATTATACTGAAAAATTTGGTGTCAATCCAAGTCCGTTTCGGCACTTAACTAAAGGTCCAAAGTTGGAACCAAATCTGGAAATTTTGTAACAGTCTTAAATTTTTCCCAACTTTGAGCTACCATATCTTGGTGCTCGAAACTCCGATTCTTGATCCGTTTGTTCTGACCTAAACCTTACTTGCACCTCTAATTGATCTATAAATTTCAATGGCTGGTTTGCAATGAGTGAATTCTGCCGAATTTTCAAAGTTAGCGAAAAAACCAACCCCGGCTCAATCCTGGGTGATTTGGAACAGCAACTTTAGGCTCATTTTTTAGCACTTTCCACTTCGATTCATGGAAAAGTGTCTTCTAGGAACTTGCAGTACTTTCTAAGAGGTTTTCAACGGTATAAAGTTTTCCAATTCTCGACTTATGCCGAGTGAGTTACGATTTTTCAAAGATTCATAACAAAACTGAAAATTTTCCAACTTTCAAGGAAATAGAGTTTTTCAAGAACTCTTTATTCTTTTGATATTATCAAAACGTTTTATCCCCGATTTCCTAGATAAAGACTTAAATATTGTTAAATGTTATTAAACCTCTCTCGAACCTAGATTTACGAGTAATTGAGGTTCATTTTCACGGAATTTCCTAGAGTAATACTAGTGAACGAATTATTCCTCGATTATTTGGGATATGGGTGATAATTCACTATTATTTGCTCAGGCACGCACGAGGACCTCCAAGAGGACCCTACTGTGGAAGTTTGAACTCTTCCTCCAATTTACTTGCTTGCATAACTTGGTGAGTGTCAAGTGTATGCCTACTTGAACCCTAAAGTCTTGATTCATGCTTGATTCACCTGATTTCATGCTTAGCTTAACTGATTTTGACAAAATGGAGTCGAGTGTGTACTTGATCGCACTCGTTCTCATTTGAAACGAATGACTCATGCTTAACATGATTTGCTTGGTTTACATGACTTGAAGTGTCTGCTTAAACCTATCAAATGCTTGAATACATGAAATGGTATGCTATGATTGCATACGTCGATGGAGTGAATCTCCTCGACATTTACATGACAAATGGGGGACGCCCAAACTCATAGGCCGACCTTGGAACTCGAGCCGGCATGGGATTGGTCGGGAACCTCGATGAGCCATGAGACTCAAATGATAAGCTTGATCTATTGAGAGATCTCGCTTGGCATACTCGTATAGTATCGCCTTATAAATGTAGTGCGGGCCCGAAGTGGTGTATGGTGGACGGATGGGAAGTAAGTGGTGAACTACGGATATGAAAATATCAATCCGGTTGACGGAGAGTCATCACGGAAAGATATATAAACGGTGTCGGCAAATGTGGAACTTAGCTCCTGAGAGCTTCTATATCCTTGAATTGTTTCTGGTTACAGTTTATTGGTGTTATTAATTACTTGCAGGATAATACCTGAATTGTTATTGGGCTTGTTATCTGAACTAACTGGTTGCATGTGTGTTCTTGGCCTCACGAGCGTTTTGCTCACCCTGTAGATTTGTTTTCCTTAACAGGTTTGAACTCGGAGGTAAAATGGAGAAGCCCTCTTGATGTACTTTTGTTTAGGGCTTGTTATTACTTTTGGTTATGCCTTTGGTTTTGGAATTGTACTTTCGGTATGGAAATGTGACCCTGAGAACTGTCACAGTTGGTATCAGAGCCATATGCCGACAGTTGGGATCTTAAGTCCTTCGTCTGGAAAAGCCCCGAGCCTCTCGTTCGTGAAGAGTCACGAAGCGAAACTCTCCGTAAGGGATGCCCGCGTGCGGGTGGCAAGCTGATAGGTACCCCGTGATGTGACCCTTTGGACAAAATGTAATCTGTATTCTGACGTGTGGTTTGGAGAATGGATGACTATTATTAAGTTTGAATACTTCCGCATTTAGTGTATCTAAATTATTGGCTTGTATTGTGTGGTCCGGCTATAAGTTGAATGGAATTGCTTGAGTCCTGGCGAGAGCTAGGCAGGCGTTCCGCGGATACCCTTTGGTTCGCCTTAGGGAGAAGTGGGGGCGTCACAGTTGGTATCAGAGCATAGGCTTTAGATCTTATAGTGTATCCTAGGCTTAAAATTTAGGATGCCTGACTGTGGGATTAATTTGAATATTATGTGAACTAGAGGGTCTATTGTATCCTACGGGTTAAAGAAATTGGTTACTTGAGAGTTTCTTACTTGGGACTTGTAGAAATAAAAATTGAGGAATTAGCTGATATTATATTGAAGGAAAATATGGGATGAGAGATTAGTAGTGAAAGATTGGACAAATTTGAATTATTATTATACTTGTAAGTGTGGAAAGAAGTGAGACAATTATTAGTGCTGGCTAAAGCAGATAAGAGACCGAGATTTGATGGTCAAACTGCATGTATCGTGATTGTGACCCCAGATGAAAGAGTTTCAAAGGTATAAAATGCATTTTCCTGCTCATTAGAGAAATTATGCTTTGAAATTCTAAAGGAAAAATGGGGATGTACTAGTTTTATTTTCAAACGATAATTGGAAATAATATATATATGCTTCAAGTACGTGTAATTCTTCGATTTTGGTAAATATGTGAATTTTACTTGAATTTCAATTTAAAAATTTGTGAATAACTGATGAGTTTGTTGAAATTTTATATGTGATGGGCTGATACAAGGTTAAAATTTTCTAAACTAGATTTTGCCCCTTGATTGTATACTGGTGTATTCTCACACTTGAATTCATCTATGCTTTACAAAAATAATAATAATAATAATAAAAATATCTTGAATTTTCGGAAGAACGGCGAACTTATGTTTTTATAATGAAAATCTTGAACTTGATAAGATTTTTGTTACTTTAAATACTCTTCTTATCTTTTAAAATTCTTGGTTTTCAAGAAGGGTGAGCCTATCTTTAGGTGTACGGATTGAGGGAACTTTGAGATATAGAGTAACCGCATTCAAGAACACGCAGTTAGTATGAATTGACTTGGTTTCCATTTGACACGTAAGTTAGCAAGTTGTACTTATTTCTTGGGTTTGAACTTGGAGCTTGAGGCTTTAACTATAAAACCCTAAGACTAGTTATTCTTGGAGATGATGGTGCTCTGGTTGGTGGCTTGCTTATTAAAGATTTTGAACTTCGAATGGATAACCTTTGGATTCCGCTTATGTTATGGTTTGATTGGATCTAATTTCGTAAAGGCATGTGATCTGATTGGAATTAGTGATATTCGGACCCATTGGTTTAATTAAGGACTTAGGAAGGGTGGTACACGCCGTGAGACCTTTTGTATCCCGCTTGCATATACTTCTACATTTTGTGACCCTTAATTGCCTATATACAGTATTTGACATATTGGGCTTGTTTTGTGACTTCTTAACTCGTACTATAACCTTCCATACATGTAAAGAATCATGTCTTGATTCTAAATATTTTTGCAACTTGTATATGCATTAAGTTCTTTTATGATTAATTATTCATTTTCTTGCGCTTATAGACTCCTATTAAGTATGGTAGCAGGAATAGGAAAAAGGGGTCGTGGCCGAGGGCTTAGACAACCCTGTACTCGTGAGAAAAATTGATGGATGACCTTATATAATTTAATGAGATCCTAGTACTGAATATGAATCGAGAATAAACCAGAAGATTAGATCTATCAGTGTATAATGGATTAACCTAGTTGGGAACTTAGTGAGATTTTCCTGTGTGAAATTTTAATAACTGCTTTATACGTATATTATGATTGGTCCTGTGGCCATATTTCAACTTTTGTGAAAGTTTGAACTCCAAAAGTATTTCGTGGGATTGGTGAGATGACCTGAACTCATTACCAATTTGTTCTACTTGAACAAAAGCGCTTTCAATTTTACTTGACTAATACTATACCCAAATTCACTTGTTTTACTTTTCACAAAATTTATATATATATATATATATATATATATATATATATATATATGTATGTATACACATTTTGAACTCGTTTGAGACTCGAAATCAGATAGAGTTCAAGTTCGAATCTTTCTTAGAAACATGAATGCCTATTTGTTATGAATCAGATATTAGAAATGATCGGGGTTTTATGTACCAGTAGAGTTAACTCTTGGTTGGATAAAAGGGTGGTAAATGTATTGGATCACAGGTTATGCGAATATGAACCTACATGTTTACCTATCTTTCTTAAAGGTATTTTCTAAAATATACGCCTTACTCGAACATAGATTTAACTCGAAACTTTGAGAAAAAGTGTTGGAACACCCTCCATGTATATGTTATGATTATTATGTATATGTTTTAAAAATCATGCATTAAGTTGCATGATTAATATTCTTAAATCTATTTGAGAGATTTTAAATATGTATTGATGATTGTGGTTAAACATTATTTGAAATCTCTTACTAAGAAAATTTAATTTTGGGTCGTGAAGAAAAATTTGTATCTTTAACTCTAATTTTGAAAATTTTGAATCACATTTTGCCACAGATACATTCAAAATACATCAAAAGTCTTGACCTTATCTTGTAAGTCATGATTGGTTTGATTTAGACAAAATTTTGAGGAAAGGGATTTTGGTCCTGCTAGTGCGTAACAGTTTTTTTTTTGTTAGGATTTGGAACTTGTTTCATATGGCGTATAATTTATGGTTTTATGGTTTCACTACACACGGGAGTAAGACCTTAGAATGGAAGTACATATCATTATATCAAGAGGTATTACTTTAGTCGTGTGTGTGGATTTTCTTAAGTATCATTCGAGGAGAGGGAAGAGTAAATATACCTGGATGACTTAGATGCGTGAGAATTTACAGGTTGTGGATAGTTGAGTTTCAAATTTTGATTTGCTACTTATTTAGATGCTTGAACAGTTGATAGGCTAACAGTTAGGATTAAGAAAATGGATGAATGAAAAGTTTGGAAGAGATGCGTATAGAAATAGAAATTTTTCACAAGGAGTTGGAATTCCAAACTAAATTGGCTGAATTCTGGGAAGAAAAAAAAAAAGTCGAGAACTTAGGGTTGAAGATGGGATCCAATGTTTAATCGCCGATTTGAGATATTAAAAGTTGTGAGATTTGGGTGAGTGAAAGGAAATATTTGATGGCTTGAATGAGCCTAACGATTAGGGACCGGATGTTATATTTGGAATGGACGCTTGAGGCTATATATACATAGATTATTGAGAGTTGAACGATGAGACTATTAAGAACAAATGATCCATAGCCTCACATAAACGAGAATTATAATCAAGGGTCAGGAGCAGTGAATAAGGGATTTAAAGTAGAGTTACTACCAACCGGAAATTCTAGAAACTGATGTGCTTAACCACTTCCAATTCAAGATGGGGATGCTTGAATTTTCAGTTATGCCAATTGGGTTGACTAATGTATCAGCAGCAATTATTGCATTAATGCATCAAGGTTTTAAATCGTAATAGGATTAATCTGTGATGGCATTTATTGATGATGTATTGATATACCCTAAAGTTTGAGAAAATCATGAAAAAAATACCTGATGGTAGTTTTACAAACCCCGAGAGAACGCTAACTTTTGTTAAGTCCAATAAATGTGAGTTCGATGGGAAGAAATAGCCTTTCTAAGTTATATAATATCTAAGGAAGAAATTGTTGTTAACTCAGTTTAAGTGGAAGCTGTTTAAGAGGAAATGACTAGAAAATCCTACCGAAATTTGGAGTTTTTAGAGGTAGTCGAATATTATCTTGGTTTGATCAGGGACTTCTAAGGATACGAGACTTGACAAGTTATTTGAGATTCTAAATGTGAGGAAGAATTTGAAGGTGAAAATCGTTTAACCAGTGCACTTGTGTTGGCTTTACCGAGCGGATGAGGTGATTTTGTGATTTATACAGATGGTTCAAAGGATGGTTTAGAATGTATATTAATAATATATGATGAGGTGATTGTATATGCCTTCTGAAAGTTAAAATCTTCCGAAAGAAAGTAATCAACTTATGATTTGGAGTGAGTTGGAAAACATAAGTCAACCGGCAGGTCCAAGTGTGCTGAACCGTCTGACAGAGAGCGGTGAGCGGTTTACAAGGTTCGGAGCAAATAGGCCTACGACGAACTGATGACTGAGGCTGGATCACGCGAGCTGACAGTTAACTGTATGCAACGTCGGCACGAAAACTCAGGTTGCAGCGACAGACGATGGTAGGGGAGTGGGTGAGCACTTCTACTGATTGATCTGATAGGCTTAACCATGAAGGGAATGATGTTGTTCTAAGTATGAATTTCGAGGACGAAATTCCTTTCAAGGAGGGGAGGATGTGAGAACCCGAAAATTTTCTTATTTTTATAGAATATTATTGGAACATTTAAATGATTATTCACTCATTTTCTTCGAATTATTTATTTCGACCATTTTAAATCCATTTATATGGAATGACGCCTCTTTATAATTTTAAAGCGTTTTGTTGAAAAATTCGCTTTTCGAAAATTTGATTAGTCCGGAACGACGGGTGCATGTTTTTCTAGGCTATACTTGAATAGGGAAAGTATTAATATTGAAGAATTAAGAACGATCAATAATAGATTAAGAAAGGTTAATGGAGGAATTTATACTCAATTCACGTGAGGACTCGTAAAATTCCATTATTTTAAAATCCCTAATTTTGGCTAAAATAATTATTTATTTGGATTTTTGCCACGAATAATATTTTCTAGCCTATTAGACCTAAGTACATGGTTTTATAGCTTCGTTATATTTTTTTAAAGTGTCTCGTTTCAAAAATTATTTTCTTATAAGCTTGTTTAGTGAAAAGGTGAAAACGTGTCCAAACACTTTAGCCAATTGGGATTACAATAAGCTAAAAATTTAAGACCTATACAATGGACCTAAAATAGACAATTTTAGGTTTAAACACACAAGTAATAACTAGTGGTACGATCGTTATAAGAATT